ATTCACATGCAAGCTTTTTTTCAAGGCTGTGGTATTTGCCCGCAAACAATACCTTTCAGCTAGCTAAAACAGGGAGGGCAGGGATAGCTCAGTAGGTAGAGTGGTGGCCCCATGATCGGAAGGTCGGGGGTTCGATTCCCTGAACAGCTACCCTGAGGTACCCCTGAGCAAGGTACCGTCCCTACACACTGCTCCCCGGGCGCCCAGTGGCTGCCCACTGCTTCACTGAGTGAATGGGTTAAATGCAGAGAGGGATTTTCCCCACGGGGACCAATAAAGTATACCTTTCTTGCTACTTAAAACAGAATATTATGCTATCAGCGAGCAACATGGCTAATGCCTTTCACACAGCTTTGTCTCAACTCCAAAGAGCCACAGAAGTAAAAGCTCATAATAATAATTGAAACAATCTTTGAAAAATGACTTACCAAGCATGGCAAACAACTCAAATATGTAGAGCAAAATGTTCTGAAACGGCTTCACTTCAGCTTCGATTGGAGCCGTGCTGGGGGCGGAGTCTGTGAATTTACTCTGTTGGTGTCATAGCCCCTCTAGGAGTTCAGAGTTAAGAGGTCAAGAGTTAATGTTTCCATTGTAACACCTCCAGATTTGACATGAGAAACACTCATTTTTAACACTCGATTTTAACTACTATCATTTTACACCTCAGAGTTACATTAAAAGAATGTGACTCTGCTTAGAGTAAAATTAACTCTACTTTTGCAAGAAGACTATTAACACCAAAACAATTTAACACTTTTGAATTTGCTGTGTAGTCTTTAAGATAAATCACCTGTTATCGTGCATATAAATAACATTTAAACTGACCTGAGTGGGCTTAAGCTCAACATCAGCAAAAATTAGAGATACGAGGCATAATAAGATATGAGATAAGTAAGATAAGATAAGATAAGATAAGATAAGATAAGATAAGATAAGATAAGATAAGATAAAATAAGATAAGATAAGATAAAACTTTATTAATCCCTCGGGTGGGTTCCTCTGGGAAATTCGGTTTCCAAAAGCACAGCACCGACAGAAGTTACGAGTTACAGAATATTATATATATATATCAAACAACCACACACACACACACACACACACACACACACACATATATAAATACAGAGACATATATAAATAAAATATACAAAGGGGATAAATAGAATAAATAGGAATAAAAAATAAAAATACAAGTGAATTGCACATTTCAAGTATTGAGTCTATTGCACTGTTGACTATTTACAAAAGTATTGCACAAGGTATTGACAGTGAGGTGAAGAGGCACTACAGCTTAGTTGTTCCCCCCTCCTTTGTCCTCCTGTTTCCCCTCCCTCTCCCCTCCAGAGAGGAGTTAAACAGTCTGATGGCGTGTGGGACAAAGGAGTTTTTAAGTCTGTTAGTTCTTGTCTTGTGGGAGAAGCAACCTGTCACTGAACAGACTCTTCTGGTTGTTAATGGCCGTGTGCAGAGGATGCCTGGCATTGTCCATAATGTCCATCAGTTTCTTTATGTCCTTTTCTCTGCCACTGTCACCAGAGTGTCCAGCTTCATGCCGACCACAGAGCTAGCCCTCCTGATCAGTTTCTCCAGCCTGGATGAGTCCTTCTTTGCTGTGCTGCTCCCCCAGCACACCACAGCATAGAAAAGTACTCCAGCAACCACCGACTGGTAAAACATCCTCAGGAGCTTCCTGCAGATGTTAAAAGACCTCAGCCTCCTGAGGAAGTACAGTCGGCTTTGGGCTTTTTTATACAGGTGCTCTGTGTTGCATGACCAGTCCAGTTTATTGTCCACCCACAGCCCGAGGTACTTGTACTTGTTGACCACCTCCACCTCCTCCCCCTCTATCTGAACCGGCAGTATAGTACATTCATCTGCAGTCTCCCATCGTATACACAGACTTCTTATTGGACAGTCAAGCTGGACACAAACAAGGTGTTGCTTTCAAAACCTTTTTTCAAAAATTGTAAATTATTTTTTTAAATTTTAAATTTGAGCAACCACAAAATAATTTCACTGGAGGGAATGATTGATTCTGTATTGTCATTAAATTATTCACATTCTTAGGTACAATAAGTGGCTAATTGCAGACAAAGGAAAGAAAGAAAAGAGTAAGTTTCACTAAGTGCCAAAGTAACCCTGTTTACATAGCATCTAATGGTTTTACAGTCAAACATAGTTATGGTGGACGAGTGGCAACACTTCTATGGGCAGAAATTGAATTTGAATTGAATTTATGGTTTGAAAATGATCACCACTAAATTGAAATTGCATTTTATATTTTGAAAATGAATTGATTTGGAAATGTGACATTGCCCAAAATGTCTCGGTATGCTGAAGCATCAGGAGTTCCTCTCACCGGATTTAAGGTTACAAGACCTGAAAATCAGCCCCGCACCACAAGCCCACTTCCACTTGGCACAATGCAGCCAGACAAGTACCACTACAAGAACTGTGATTTCAGGTCGTGGTGGATGACTTGCTGCGTACCAGGACAGATTCAAATGAAGGCTGATCAAATGTATGATCTGAGTTACAGATGATTACGGGCTGTTCCCTGAAATCCTTTTATTGTACTTTAATCTATCGACCTCCTGGAGCTCCCGGTTATACTCGGCACAGATGTTCCTGTACACTATGCCGGCCACTTGGTTATGGCGTTCCATGTATGCCCTGCCTGCTAGCATCTTGCACCCTGCTGTTAAGTGCTGGATTGCTTCAATCTCAACCTGAGATTGATTCAAGACTTATGTTATTATTGGGCACCAGCATATCAAAATGCTCCCTAACTGCTGATGTTTTTTGAGATTCTCCATGCAAGCTTCATGTGCTTAAAATCTCCGTGCAAGCTCGTGATGATCCTCAGAATCACCTCAGATCCAGTTCATGCCAAAAACTCATTCCCATGTGTTTGTGACAGCTTGAATCCCATAACGAGACAGTGATGTCATTTCAAGGAAACGGGGCCTTGTTTATCTTTTATCACGTGATAAAGATAAGACCGATAAGCAGCCTCGACATGGGCTTCATCTGGACACGCCCCTCAATAAACACAGGCCTCAGGGCTTTAACATTACTGCTCACCGCTTCACCTGCCTGCCCACCCTCCGGTGCCTTGACCCCGCCCCCCAACTTCCCAGCGTGCAGACTCTCACCCTACCTGGATGTCACCTTCATATACCAAGTAAGCAATCAGTCACATCTCAGCTGTGGATAGTTTTGGGATTTGTTTTGTGTGAAATAAATCTTTGTGAAAAACATGTTCTGTACTCTTTGTGTGTGTGTGTGTGTGTGTGTGTGTGTGTGTTACAGTTGCTACACAGCCAACTGTAGCCGATTAGAGCCTGCGAGACTCAACTTTGCTAATTTGAATGAATAAATTGGACCTTTCCTGTGTGTGTCTGTGTGTGTTGATTGTGACTGCAATTACAAAGCTTGCTAGCATGTCTTAACACTTCACCCTGTGGTCTAAAATATGTTCTTGTTAGAGCTAACATGACTGACGGGGTGTCTGTAGCTCAGGTGGCAGAGCAGGTCAGCCACTAATCAGAAGGTTCGGTGGTTCGATCCCAGGCTGCCTCCTGAGCTGCATGCCAAATATCCTTGGGCAAGATACTAACCCCATGTTTGCCTACTGGTGGTGGTCAGAGGGCCCGGTGGCGCCAGTGTCGGCTAGCTGCTATCACCAGTGTGTGAAGGTGTAATGACTGAATGTAGTGTGAAGCACTTTGGGGTCCTTAGGGACTAGAAAAGTGCTATACAAATGCAGGCCATTTTTAATTTGCTTTGAAACTGCATTTTATCCTTTAAAAATTCAGCTCTACAATAATTTCATTCAGTTCCAAAATTCAGTTTTTTGGAACTTACATCCGGTTCCGGTTCAAGCGCAGATTAATAGAACTACGTTTTACTAGCGGACCGAAAGTGTTACTGACGGGAATCTACAGCGTCTTGAGCTGAATTAAGACTTCAGAAGTCATTCGTCATGTCGAATGACCAGCGGATAAACTCTCAGGTTGGATAAATGTATTACATGTATAAGAACAAGCGTCATGTTAACAAATGATAGCCGTACAGTAACTTTTATGCTTATTGTAGCTGTTAGCTAAAAACGCTAATTTAGCGTAGTTTGCCCTGAATTCAGCTTTGACAAACAAATATGATCGACTGTTTCTAGTAGAATTCCAAAGTTGTCGTCTTGGACCCTCTCAGAGTACCCCCTCTGTATGCTTGCAGAGACCCCTACAGTAGGGAAACATGCAAAACGGTGTCCAAACCTTTGTGTTTTAGCTTTATTTATGTCTTACACAGCATCCCAACTCTTTAGCTAACTTAATAACTTTAGCTAAAGTGAATAGTTAGTCTAATTCATTAGTGCAGCATTACTGCAGCTGAATTCAGAGCAAACTATGCTAAATTAGCGTTTTTAGCTAGCAGCTACAATAAGCATAAAAGTTACTGTATGGCTATCATTTGTTAACATGACGCTTGTTCTTATACATGTAATACATTTATTACCAACCTGAGAGTTTATCCGCTGGTCATTCGACATGACGAATGACTTCTGAAGTCTTAATTCAGCTCAAGACGCTGTAGATTCCCGTCAGTAACACTTTCGGTCCGCTAGTAAAACGTAGTTCTATTAATCTGGCTTGAACCGGAACCGGATGTAAGTTCCAAAAAACTGAATTGTAGAACTGAAACTGAATGGTGAGAAGTGAAACTGAAATTATTCGAGAGCTGAATTTTTAAAGGATAAAATGCAGTTTCAAAGCAAATCAATTCATTTTCAAACTATAAATTCAATTTCAAATTAGACTAATTCAAATTCAGTTTTCAAAAGCATTTATTCAAGTTACAATTCAGATTCAATCTGAGCAATTCAAATTCAAATTGAACTTATTCAAATTCAGTTTCTGATGGCACAGATTTCTGCCCATACACTTCTCATTGCTATTGGCCGCTAGGTTGACAGTTGTCAATCAGCATCACAAAGACCCGCCCACCTGTACCTGTGGGCTGTCTGAGGAGTCCTGCGTGACAGCCACGAGAAAAGACCATCCTCTGGGTAGGTGAACAAATATATGCTTGTCTTTCAATAATTAATAACGTGAAGTTGAAATATTCTGTGAGATTTGTTGTTGTTCTTTAAGAAAACGTCCTGTCCTGCCAGAAAGACTCAAATGTTCCCATATGAAGTAGGCCTACGTCTTTTATCCTCCCAAATAATCCAAGCTGTCAGTCTGCAGCTTAGAAACTGTTTGATAGCATCTTGACAAAGGCTGTTATCCTCTGCTGGTAGCAACGTTTGTTTTGGAGTCATGTAGAGAACCAGATATAAAAATGTTTTCTAAATAGTTAATCTGCTAAATTGAGCTGACCTTTATTCTACAACAGAAACAGGACCAAACGGGAGAGGTAGAGATAGCTCCTTAATTCTCTAAGCTTCTGCTCATCCTGACTGATCGTCCCTGCAGGGCTTACAGCATATTGTAGCCTTCAGTTTGCACTCACTGAAAATCCTTCACACACTTTATGTAGCTTCATTTCCTTTTTGACTTGACTCTCAGTAAGCAGGGTGATTATTTTAAGGTCACCCATTGTTTCTGGACTTTTTGGGTTTTTGTTTTCTTTCCTGACATGGTAAATGGCCTGCATTTGTATAGCGCTTTTCTAGTCCCTAGGGACCCCAAAGCGCTTTACACAACCAGTCATCCACCCATTCGTGATGGCAGCTACATTGTAGCCACAGCTGCCCTGGGGCGCACTGACAGAGGCGAGGCTGCCGGACACTGGCGCCACCGGGCCCTCTGACCACCACCAGTAGGCAAACATGGGGTTAGTATCTTGCCCAAGGATATTTGGCATGCAGCTAGGAGGCAGCCTGGGATCAAACCACCGACCTTCTGATTAGTGGCTGACCTGCTCTGCCACCTGAGCTACAGACACCCCGTCAGTCATGTTAGCTCTAACAAGAACATATTTTAGACCACAGGGTGAAGTGTTAAGACATGCTAGCAAGCTTTGTAATTGCAGTCACAATCAACACACACAGACACACACAGGAAAGGTCCAATTTATTCATTCAAATTAGCAAAGTTGAGTCTCGCAGGCTCTAATCGGCTACAGTTGGCTGTGTAGCAACTGTAACACACACACACACACACACACACACACACACAAAGAGTACAGAACATGTTTTTCACAAAGATTTATTTCACACAAAACAAATCCCAAAACTATCCACAGCTGAGATGTGACTGATTGCTTACTTGGTATATGAAGGTGACATCCAGGTAGGGTGAGAGTCTGCACGCTGGGAAGTTGGGGGGCGGGGTCAAGGCACCGGAGGGTGGGCAGGCAGGTGAAGCGGTGAGCAGTAATGTTAAAGCCCTGAGGCCTGTGTTTATTGAGGGGCGTGTCCAGATGAAGCCCATGTCGAGGCTGCTTATCGGTCTTATCTTTATCACGTGATAAAAGATAAACAAGGCCCCGTTTCCTTGAAATGACATCACTGTCTCGTTATGGGATTCAAGCTGTCACAAACACATGGGAATGAGTTTTTGGCATGAACTGGATCTGAGGTGATTCTGAGGATCATCACGAGCTTGCACGGAGATTTTAAGCACATGAAGCTTGCATGGAGAATCTCAAAAAACATCAGCAGTTAGGGAGCATTTTGATATGCTGGTGCCCAATAATAACATAAGTCTTGAATCAATCTCAGGTTGAGATTGAAGCAATCCAGCACTTAACAGCAGGGTGCAAGATGCTAGCAGGCAGGGCATACATGGAACGCCATAACCAAGTGGCCGGCATAGTGTACAGGAACATCTGTGCCGAGTAGGGCAGCTCCAGGAGGTCGATAGATTAAAGTACAATAAAAGGATTTCAGGGAACAGCCCGTAATCATCTGTAACTCAGATCATACATTTGATCAGCCTTCATTTGAATCTGTCCTGGTACGCAGCAAGTCATCCACCACGACCTGAAATCACAGTTCTTGTAGTGGTACTTGTCTGGCTGCATTGTGCCAAGTGGAAGTGGGCTTGTGGTGCGGGGCTGATTTTCAGGTCTTGTAACCTTAAATCCGGTGAGAGGAACTCCTGATGCTTCAGCATACCGAGACATTTTGGGCAATGTCACATTTCCAACTTTGTGGGAACAATTTGGGAATGACATGGACGAGCAAGTTTGGTCTGAACAGGTTCCTGACATGAACCCAACAGAACACACGCAGATGAATTCGAGCTGAGACTGTGAGCCAGCATCAGTGTCTGACCTGTCTGGCCTCCCTAGAAGACTTTAAGCTGTTATACCTGCAAAGAGTTGGACGATGTTATATTAAACCCTGTGGATTCAGAATGGGATGTCACTCAACTAGGGCTGGGCCATATTATACCGTTCACGGTAATACCGGTATAATGTTAGGCAACGATAGGAAAATGAAATATCGCGATAGAATATGAGTAAAACGCGCATGCGCAGTGCCTTTGTTTTCATACGCACATGGCCGATTGTTGAGTGAAACAGATGAACCAGAATTGGTTTGTAAAAATGGTGCAACTTCAGTGATGTGGAACTGGTTTGGTGTTTGTCCGTCAGATACACAACAAAGCACATTTTTTTGCAGAACATGCAAGCGGCCGTCGTTATTGTCGTATTTGTCGGACTAAGATGCTCTTAAATCTGGGAGTAATCTGGGTCCTAAACTCCGTATGCTTCAGGTCAAACGAACACTGCAGCATCACTGAGAGTTAAAAACTGTCTAAATTCTTTCATCTTTAATAAAACGATCAGCATTGCTGCTTTACCAGGTGTAACTATGAAGTTTAACTTCCAGGCATCCATGAAAACAAAAGTTATTACATTTAACGGAGTTAGAAGTTAGCAGGAAGCTAGCGGAAGTTAGCTCGCTAGTTTCGCTAGTTACCTAAGCATGATATAGCATGTTCTGACTGAGAGATTTCTGAAAAAAATCAAACGTACAGCTCTGCTATCACTTCCAACATAAATGAAGACAGGAAACTAAACAGCAGTGACGTTTGTAGGGTTACTGAAGTTGGGCTAGCTGGTATATAATGATGTGCTACGTGATCGCTAGCGACACAGCTATGTTAGCATAACATAAACAGTGAAGCTGGAGGACGAACACTAACACTTTTCCACTTATAAAAGTTAACGTGAAGGTTCTTCATGGTTAGAGACAAATGCAATCGCATGGCAGGATGCTGTAAACGGACCAAACTTCAGTCAGGAGAACAACTGAGATAATCCATCCACAATACGAGGTTAGTCATTAATAGGGTTGCCAACTCCCTGAAAAATAAATAAGGGACACCTCGTGGCCAGGGCCGGGCAACCCAGTTGTCTTCACCCTTCCCAGTGTGGTGAATTTTGTAGCTCTTTTTTTTGTGTGTGAAATTATTTTTTAACCATTTGACTTGAATTTGATTTAAGCAGATGCATATTCTTTGTGATATGACCATATGGGAAACAAATGATCATTTAGCCATTTATTTTTAGCTCAAAATGACAACATTAACACAGTAAAACAGGTCTCTTTCTTAAACAGAAGCCTGTCATGCTTAACTTTTGAGAATATAAGTAAATCTTTCTTTAAAAGAACTCTGTCCTGCTTAACTTAAAATAATAGAAAACAATAGAAAGAAAAACATTCTTGTAACAGTGCACATTTAGTGCATTTAGTACAATTGGCTTCAGTTGAGGTATTATTTCAGCTTTTCTAATGCTAATCAGCTGCTCCTGTTTGTAAACCCACTTGTTCCCATGATTACGCATCTTAACTCATCATCATTATTCATCTATGTATTACTTTTATGTATTAGTCATCTATTTGTTGTAATCATCTATCCTTGCAGTTGTTTATTACACAAAATAAATTATATTATCACACTTCTGGCCACATAGCGCTGATATTCACTGCACATGTCCATATTAACCTTAACCAGAGGGTTTAAAAAACAAACCAGTGTTTACATACCATATCTGCTTCTGCCGTGGCCTGGTGGACAAAAAATTGGTTAAGGGTTCCCCGAGCTTTCACGCCCCTCATGTTCTTCATGTACCCACCATTAGAAGCATGCCTATGGAAAAAGTGCGCCGGCACACAGTGCAGTGCGCTTTATAGGTGTTATCGTGCACTTTTCCTTTTCCCATTCCTCCCTGTACTTTTGCAGCCTATTTTTCTTTCTCTGAGCGAACAAACATTGCTGCTCTAATGCTGGGCTCACACTGTGCGATTTTTGGCCCATTTTTAGCCGATTTTTGAGTCGTGCGGCCGATTTGGTGATCGGCCCAATTTTGGCCTTCATCGTGCATCGTGTAGTATACGTGGGGTAACGAGAAGCGATTAACACCTCGAGCAGCTCCCGATCATCAATCGCTCGTGAGGGTGTCACCACAGCCGCTCACACTGCTCACGCGCAAACACGTAAACGTCGGTGAAAAAGACGGAGCAGCACGGCTGTGCAGCGTGTGATCTGGACACAAGCGATGGAGGCACAACTTGTAGAACTTTGGAAAGCTCATCCGAGCCTTTTCGATGTGGCATCACAAAATTATCACGACCACAACAACCGTGAAAATAGTTGGATTTACATGCTGCTCAATCACAGCTGCCTGATCATGTTTTTCATTAGCAATTTAGCAAAGTTGATGGTGGTGGTGTGTCTGTGTGAGTGAAAGACAGAGAGGAGCGAGCGACAGATTTTCTGTTATAACCTTCATGTTATGGAGGCACAGTGTGAGCACTCAGGTCGCATCAGAGCATCGGGCGGTATAGTGTGAGACCTGCATCGTGACCTACCAACTTCTAACCCCTGCGAGTCAATCGTGCAGTTTGAGCAGGAGCTGAATAACGTGACTGAAAAAATCGCACAGTGTCTGTCCAGCTTTAGGTGTACTGTCGTCCGAGACTTGCACCGCAGTGTCGGCGTTTGTTTCCCTGTTGGCCATGCTTCTTGTTGTGGTCATCTGTTGTCTTCCGGTATTTTCTCCGTAAGCGACCTTTCCTCGACCAATGAGATGAGCGGTAATCTGAATTGTCATACTCGAATTGTCATAAGTGTGCTGTCAGCTCATTGGTCACAAAGCAGGAGAGGGGCTGGGAATTATGTTTTCAAACAAAGCGTTAATTCCATTAACATTTATAGACTACTTTTGATTCTCACTGTATTACGGGACAAAGTGCGTCCCTTATTAGCTCAATACGGGACGTGTACTTTTGTTTCTAAATACGGGACGATTCCGTTTTTAAGGGACGGTTGGCAACCCTAGTCATTAATATACTGCAACAACATGGGAACTAGAGCAGCTGCCAGAGAATTCAACATTAATGAATCAATGGTACAGAAGTGGAGGAAGCAAGAAGAATGAGTTTAATAAAGTTTGATTTATCTGACTGCTTTGTTTCGCTTAATGTGCCTTATAATCCCGTGCACCTTATGGTCCGAAAAATACGTACTGCACACTGCAGTTTAATGTTGCAAAGCACCTCTTTTTAACTTCAGTGGATATTATACATGGTTATGCTCAGGATATGTCAGCCCATTTCTACTGGAAATGCCTTTTGGTTAAACTTTCAGCAAGGAATTTGCATTTGCACTGTTACATTTTTATAAAGCTTTAATGTACATAAAAACCAGCTTCTTGTTTAAGTGAAAATAAATGGAAGGTTGTCTTTTTGCGCTAGTAATGTTGTGGAGTTGTATTTTGTCTCGCATCAATTATATCGTCAGTTATATCGTTATCGCAAATTTTCAAATATATATCGTGATAAATATTTTTGGCCATATCGCCCTGCTCTACACTCAAGTTCATATGCTTGTGAAGGCAGACGAATAGTTTTGGCAACACTGTATGTGGAATTACCCAGTTCATGATGTATTTACATGTGCATTGATAAATCAGTAACACAGAGCTCTGCACCCATGAACAGTGTGATTCTTGTTTAAAGGCATAAACATTTCAGCACTTATATCTATTTCTTATCTAGATAACACACAAAAAAACTAATCTGAATTTTATGAAGCAAGAAAAGAACCCACAACAGAAGTAGTCTGGTGTGGATCCAGTGCATTACTCAAAGAGAATGATGTGTTCTGTGTGATTTCTAACATTTCCTATAAATAAAAAGTTCAGACTTTTCAGTTAATAGAGTCTAAACCACACAGCAGCCCTGCCTGTGGTTGGCAAGCAGATGGTTTACGCAGATTATCAGGCTCATGAGCAGATTAGCTTAGCGCTTCAGTGACAGGTTACTTGATGGACTTGTAGATAAAGCCTCTCTCCGCCTTTCTTTAATTAGAGTGAGACAAAAGTTACAAATGGCTCGTTTAGGGTAAGCAGATGACTGTGTCGTAAAGAGTGAACAAGCTGGCAGGTGGCAGTGTGCTGTCAGAGGAACGAATACTGAAATAAAATAGTGATGTCACAGTGTACCGTTGTGTCAGGGTGCTGGAAACAGCTGTTTCATGCTGCTCGTTTCAGTCTTCATATTTTTATTCTTCTCCTCAGGCAGTTGTGCATGACTCACACTGCAGATGCTTATTCTCTTATATTGAACCGTCAGTTTGAGTTTGTAAATGTGGTTAATGTTGCTGGTGGTCATGTTTATAAGTGATACTGTGAAATAAAGGCATCTGACAGGTTCTCTTTCTTCTCGTCTCCAGTCTCTGTGTTGATCCTGAAGCAGTATGGAGGAGAGTGACCTGCTCCAGGAGAGGCTCCAGGCCATCACTGTAATGCTCCTGTCTACTCTGAGCAGTCACAGACACTTGTGCTACACTTCTAAAGATATCTGCTTATCTATGTGACAATTATTCACACTTTCATTTAGAGGTTTTAGAGCATGATGCAGATGTTACTGAGACATGTACAGTCTGTACCTTTTTTCTTTTTTACTGTACTCTAAAATAAAACATGTAACTTACAAATAATTATTATTATTTAAATAAGTAACAAATTAAATCTTTGTGGCTTTTGACTCTAAAAAATGCAAATTAGTTCTTTTGTCATTTGTTTATGACCTTTTTCTGTCCTTTAACATTCACTTAACTTTGGAACATTTAAAACTTAAATGAAACAGTTTAAACTACTCTGAGGATTAGTTTGCTTTTGTAGCCAAGTACAGGACAGGGTAGGGGAAGTTAAAGTGGGATGGAGAGAATGGGCCAATAGCTCGACTCGCAGGAGGGTTATGGTGAGTGGCGTGCAGAAGAATGAGTGGAGCCACAGGTAAAGTTGCTTTGAATTGTACTGAATTATATAGCAACAATTAAACAGCACTTCATAAACAGGAATGAAACATTAAATAAGATACAACAACAGCAATAATAATAGTAACCAGAATCCTATCTGAGCTCAGATATGTCAGTCTTTCCGGCTTAATAGTCAGTGTTCAGTGATTTTGTCCAACCGCTCTGCTGCAATTCTTCGTGAGAGAAGAGCAACCTGCCCTTCTGGGCCAACTCGGAATGGCTGTGGTTCGGTTCAAAGGGAACGGCTCGCCATCTTCCTCGTCAGGTCGCACGATCCCACAAAAAAAGCCTAGCCTGTAAACAACAGGGCTATTACTAATTCAACTCACACTCTAATGATATATATGGCCATATGTAAATAATTTAAGTGCTATAACAAATCAAGCACAAAACATTAATTCTAATTTCTAATTACAGTCTATACAGTGCGTCTTAATCATGAATGCAATCTTTAAATCACAATCAGCTTATTTTTCCATCAAGGTGCACATTTCTATCAGAAACCAGAAATAAACCATGAACTATGGTAGATTATCTTTCCCAGTACTGCCCCTTTTACTGAATTACAGGAGCCTTGCTTTGCACTGCATAGCAATGAAGCAATATGTTAATTACACTCAATGTACAAAATAAAATGACCAAAAATATACAAAAGCCCACAGGCTGTAGTTCTACAGTATGTGGTAACGTATCAGCACAGTAAGAATATGCAGAGACATCTTTACAGTGCCGCTCGAGCATCAAATAAAATAGATTCATAACCTTTAAGATCAAAATTAACTTCATCCCATCATCTTATTTTAGTGCATTTAATATTCAACATGTAATACTAGAACATCATCACCACACAAGCTGAGTGCTCAGAGTAGCTGAACTCCAAACCCCGTGTGTTCTCCCACAGTGAAAACGTGGTCGGCTCCAGCTACAGCTACGAGTATTAAGCTAATTAGCTTGTTAATTAGTCTGATTCGCCCAGTCCCAGTTTAACTCACCAGCACGCTTCTAATGTTCAACTCTCAGAAAGGATCTTGTCCACTTCATCCGCACCCGTGCAGATCTACAACATTGAAATTGGGCCATTATATTCCAGGTTAACTTCTTGTTAGCTTGTTAGCTTGAAGGTTAGCTTCTGACTCTGACGGCAATGGTTCCAAAGTCCAAAATGTTCAAAACAAATCAGGTCCGTTTCTCCAAGGTCCATGCAGATCTCCGGTATGGATATTTGCTCAATTTATCAAGTTTATAGTTATTTTCCAGCAACAAGCTTGGCGGTGAAAATCAGCGACGGTGCACCTCCTCTCTTTCTGTGTCTGAGCACATACAGAGCAGGGGAAGGCAGGGCTTGTTCCTTCCTAACCAGTAGGGGTGTCAAATATACTCTCTGGGGTTTTATTTTTATATTCAGATTATTTATCTTTTATTATTGATTTACTTTAGCTCAATTCAGTGATTAACAGAGTAATGATGAATCACAATTAGCAATAACAATGTTGTAGTGCATTACAGAGTCGTGTAAACTCACTGGGTTACATTTTCAATAGATATTTGACTTATTCTGACAATCCATTGTCAATTGTAAATGTTTCATATATTCACTCATTTAAGCTTTTGCTTTTGATGAAACAGCAGAAGCATCGAATTCAAGAGGACATTAAAAAGAAGAAAGTGAAACTCGATCAAGAGAAATTCAAACTGCAACATCTGAAGGTTGGTTTGAATAAATGATCGGCTATAACAGCAGATAAAGTGTAGAGCAAATTATTTCATTGGATGTGTATTATCAGCATGAACTGCAGAAGTAATCAATTCATTTCAATTCAGTTTTACTGATCCAGCGCCAAATCACAACAACAGTCGCCTCAAGGTGCTTTATATTGTAAGGTAGACCCTACAATAATACAACAGAGAAAAACCCAACAATCATATGACCCCCTATGAGCAGCACTTTGATGACAGTGGGAAGGAAAAACTCCATTTTAACAGGAATGTCGCAGCAGATGGCCACGACTGGTTGGGGTGAGGAGAGAAAGGCAGGATAGTCGTCCTACCTGTTTGCAGACCTGCATTTTTACTTCCAGTCCCAATCCACACTAATGATAATTCTGTTCTTCTGTACAGAAAAAGGCTCTGAGAGAGCAGTGGCTGCTGCGAGACTCCCATAATGGAGTCGACTGCACACAGCAGCAGAGCTTTCTGTCTGACCGGGAACACACCAGAGCCCTGCAGCTCAGCATCCACAGGTACAAAATCAGCTCAAACAGAGCTCACAGAGAAGCACATATCATCACCATAGATTACGCATGGGCATTGTTTGGCCTTGCAGGCCACAGCCTTTTGGTGTCTCTGACATCTAAAGGTAAATGGGAAATTAGAATTCAAATGTAAATAAGTATAATGCAGCTTGTTCCATCTTAGACATCAAACACTCATTGATCATCTCCAGAGAACGGTGTACTGTGTGTTTTGTAAGTTTGTGAGAGATGTGGGTTTGCTAGCTCTGAAAGATGTCAGCACACAAAAAAGATTGATGCAGAATATAGTTTTTAACGAGGTAAATCCTTAAACACAAGGCTTACAATTTGAATTGTTGTTAGGAGACTAAACATGGTAAATGGACTGATTCTTACATAGCGCTTTTCTACTCTCCCAGAGTACTCAAAGGGCTCTATACAACATGCCTCATTCACACCCACTCATACAAGCAGTTCTAAACACAAGTGCAAACGACTCTACATTCACACTCCAATGAACGCATCGGAGAGCAACTTGGGGTTAGTATCTTGCCCAAGGATATTTGGCATGCAGACTGGGGAAGCCAAGGATCGAACCACCAACCTTCCATTCAGTAGCTGATCTGCTCTACCACCTGAGCCACATCCATCCCAGCTTGAGGAGTCCAGATCCTCACTCAAACCTGGCAGCTCTGCACTCACCTTCAGGACTGAGGACATGGTGAGAGCCCTCAGGAGGACCAGGGAGAGAAGCTCACCCGGCCCTGACAACATCAGCAGGCGAGTTCTGAGACAGGGCAACTAGGAAGTGTGTTCTGGACTCTATTTCAACACTCAATTGACAGTCACACCGTCCCCAAAAGAAACAACCCAAAGTCTCTGAATGATCTTCGTCCTGTGGCCCTCACCTCCCTGGTGATGAAGGCCATGGAGAAGATCATAAAACAGCACATCAAGAGCAACTGACCCACTGATGGACCCTCCCCAGTTTGCTTACCGTGCACAGAGAGGCGTTGATGATGCAACAACCTTCATCTTGGACTCCATCCACAAACATCTGGAGCTCCCTGACTCCTCCACCAGACTTCTGTTTGCTGGTTTCTCATCAGCGTGCATCACTCTGCAGCCTCGTATCCTGCCCACTAAACTTTCCTTCCGATTTCACCTGGATGATCAGCTAATCCTGTGGACAGAGATGGGCAGTAACGTGTTATTGTAAACTGATTACTTTTTTCGAGTAACGTAAGGGATTACTATTGCAAAAAAGGTAATTAGATTACTGTTACTTTCCCGTAGGAACGCTGCGTTACTGCGTTACTAAAACCGTGATTTTTTTGCAAGAGTGTCTCGTGACAGTGACGTAAGCAAGCGCGACGTTCGTGACAACAGCTGTGTGCAGATCAACAATGGATCATATATCGAGTGCAGAGAGAGTATGAGTGTGCAGCGTTTAAAGCGTGGAAGTACTGACCTTACTTTGAGTTTGATTCCATAAAAAGTGACAAAAACATTAGTGTCCGCTGTGCGTGGGAAGAAAACTTCTTTTTACAGCGAAAAAACCCCTAAACTTCCAACAAGCACCGAGTAGCTACGACGTAATGGGAAACTCACAGATCCTTCCACTGACAGCTACCCCACTCCTGCTTTACAGGTGGAAATAGAGCAAAAGGACCGCTGAGTCTTTGACTTTATTTATTTTCTGCTGTGTTTTACTTGTATCTATTTGAAAGACTGAGTGTAAACACAAAAAATATTTTATTTTATGTGCTGGAATGTGCAGAAAATAGGTTTAAATGTTAAACTAATTTCTTCCAGTCAGAGAATGTTGCAGATAATTAAATTTTTGCTTGATGCATGAAGTTAAAAGATTAAAACTGATAAAAACAAGTTTTAAAAAGAGACTTTTCCATTTGATTACATTTTGTGCGATGGATTATGCAGAAAAAGTAGAATTGGGCTGAAAGATCTATCGCTTTATTACCTATTTAGGGGATAAATCATGTTTTAAAAAGTAACTAAGTAACTAAGTAACTAAAGACTTTTGAAAATAAGTAATCAGTAAAGTAACGGGCTGATTACTTTTTTTAAGTAACTTGACCAACACTGCCTGTGGATATTGGACTTTTTGACCAACAGGACGGGTCAACAACTCTCTTTCCGGTCTCAGCTCCACTGGCTCCCCCCAGGGCTGTGTGCTCTCCCCCCTGCTCTTCATCCTCTACACTGATGACTGCAGATCCACACAGCTCTGTCACCTGGTGAAATATGCTGACGACACAGTTCTCCTGTCACTGCTGTCAGGCCCTCACAGCACCACGGGATGCTCTGCAGGAGTTTGTAGAGTGGTGTGACAGCTCCAAACTTGAACTGAACATGAGCAAAGGTGGTGACCTTCTCCACCAGGCAGAGGGATCTGGCTGCTTCAGTCACCACCACCATCCACGGGAAGCCAGTGGAGGTAGTTGAGGAGTACAAATACCTGCGAACCATCTTTGACAACCTCCTGAGATTCTCTGCCAACACTGAGGAGATTCTCAGGAGGTGCCACCAACAGCTATACCTCCTTTGTAGTCAGCACACCCATCATGATGACTTTTTACTATGCTTTCCTGGAAAGCATCATGACCTTCTCCATCACCTGCTGGTTCCACTGCCTCAGCCTTCATACAGGCCATCAGACAGGCAGCCAAAATCATCAACGACCCCTCTCACATTCTTCACCCCGCGTTTCAATGGCTCCCCTCTGGGCGACGCCTCCACTGCATTTCCTGCAGGACTGAGAGGAGGAGGAGCGCCACCTTTGTCCCCAAAGCCACTCTGGTTTTTAACTCCAGCCGATGAGACCGTTTCCCACACCAGAAACAGAAACTACTCTACACTCTTTTATACTGCCGACACTTTACTCACTTTTAGTCACTTACAGTTATTTATTCACCTATTCAGTCACTTTAATTTTAAAACTGTGTATATACTGTATATTCTGTGTATTTATTATTTCACTATTATTGTATGTTATCGCCTCTGTCAGTGCACCCCAGGGCAGCTGTGGCTACAGTGTAGCTGCCATCACCGGTGTGTCAATGTGTGTGTGAATGGGTGGATTACTGAATGTAGTGTAAAGTGCCTTGGGGTCCATAGGGACTAAGTATACAAATACAGGCCATTTACCATTTACCATGTTTATGCCCTGTCCTTACCTTCAACGTCATGCTGCTCTGTTGTATCTTAATTGCCCCCTGGAGATAAATAAAGTCTTTCTGATTCTGATTCTGTAACTTTGCATTTTTGAAGTACATGCGAGACAAATTTGTTAACTTAATCAAGGCAAGAACACTGACTCGCTGACAATTTGTTGCACTTTTGATTCACTGCTGTCACTGCTGGAGTCATGTCAAACAAAAAATTCCCCACTCGCCCCTGCGGGCGGTCTATCCATCAAGATTGGGTCCTCTACCAGAGGCCTGGGAGCTTGAGGATCCTGCGCAGCATCTTAGCTGTTCCTAGGACTGCGCTCTTCTGGACAGAGATCTCCGATGTTGTTTCTGGGATCTGCTGGAGCCACTCGCCTAGTTTGGGGGTCACTGCACCTAGTGCTCTGGGACCACTGTCACCTTAACCCTCCTCATCTTCTCCAGCTCTTCTCTGAGCTTCTCATGTTCCTTCTTCCTGAGGGCCAGTCCTTCCATGATAGTTCCTTCTCTTGGGTTTCTGCTGCCTGAGGTATTCACTGAGCATGCGGTTGGTTGGGGACATCTTCACGATGTACTCATGGATATTTGTTGTCTCATCCTGGACTGTGGT